AGATTAGATTAGATTAGATTAGATTAGATTAGATTAGATTAGATTAGATTAGATTAGATTAGATGGGTTGTGAAATTGAAATCAGCAGAATCTGCCCATTGCACACAAAATCTTTCATCGCGCACATAAAAGTCTGACACGCAAGCCCGTCATGTATGCATACGTATAGGCACATACGAATTTCCCCTCCCCCCCGCTTGTGTGCGTATGTATTTCATGCTTCATTATATATCAATATATATATACATATACACGTATGCGGGATGTATCACGTAAGAATCTCGCATACACGCAATCAGGCTCACATGCCTTCACATTTCTACCTGGCCTGGTACATTTGCAAATATGCTCACACCTTCACATCTGCCTGCAGACAAGTGTCCACACCGCATGCGGACGGAGCGCAACCTTTGCCCAATGGTGTGGACTCATGTACAGAAAGAGGCAGACCGGCAGACCGGCGCACGGGCGAGAGGCAAACGGCGAACTGTTGCCGTTGCGGGCGCAGGGAGGGCGAGCGGGTGGAGATTGGAGGGCGAATAGGCACCGACATGGCCCATTCTGTCATGGCGCGATGTCAACGCGACGCCGCCCGGAGACTCTGTTGTTGTCAGGGCGGGAGGGGGGCGATGAGTAATCGACAGATGCCACCGGCTGCATGTGCGCGTGTGCAACAAATCATGCCAACTCCTCGTGAAGTCGGGCGCAGAGACAGGGCTTTCGGCTCTGGCCAGTCGCCCACCCCTCGTCTGGCCTTCTGGCCTTCTGGCCAGTCCGGAGACAAGCAAACACTGCTCACGTCGTCATGTCATTCCGGCCGGAGTCATGACAAGTTGCCTGATGCGTCTGCAACGCAACTCGTGCCCTCTTGTCTCTCTCGGCCACCGGCACCCTTACAAGCACACAGACAGACACGAGGACGGGCACACGATTGTGCACCGGTGACATCGTCAGTCCACAAGCATGAATGACGAGGTGGCGAGAGAAAGAAAGAGAGAATGAGCGAAAGGTGGATGAGCAAAAGCCCAAATCGGCCGACAGTTTCTGGTAGGCTTAAAGGGTCTGTGCCACGGCGCGAATCCCGAGTCCGGTGACAGATAGTTTTTTGTTGCCAGGCCTGAATATTGCCTGAGAGACGGCACGGCGACCGGTCAAGTCGCAGAGGCAGTCGGTGCCA